GTCTAATTAATAGTTCTAGCAATTCTCTTTTGAATTGCATATGTTGCATGTTCTTCTATTCCAAATTTACTCTTTAATTCTTTAATTATGCGTAAGATCAAACACAAAAATATTACAAAACATTGTTGAAATGGTACTTACAAAATATGATGTAGTTAAATTTAATTAGTAAATAGAGTGATACAATAATTTGTAATGATTATGGGAATGAGTATAGATTGAATATGTTTCATAAATGTTTAAATTATAAATATGTATGTATGCATATATATATTAAAAAAAATTAAAAGTCCTAGAATAATTATGCATTACATATATCTTAAGCGAAATAAAAAGGTTGGGGGGGGGGGGACAATGGCCTCCCCTAAGAGTAAGGTAGATCCGTCCCTGCTCTGGATGACCAACTAGGTCGAGATCCAGCCAATAAATGTGGTTTGAGCGAGAGGAGAGTTTTTTGGAAGGACGTTTCGTCTTAGGGTGGCTAGTGGATGGCTTAGACTTCTTGCTCGACGAAGAAGGGGGAACAGTCGAAGGAGGTGAACGGATGAGGGGAATTTTAGAGGCTTTCAGTGGGAAGGAGGGAGCTTCAAACTCTTCTTCATCCTCCTCGTTCTCGTCGAGCAGACCGAGTTGTCGACGAGAACGCTGGGGAGATGGGGGGTTGGATATACCCTCGTCAAGATTATCGACGAGGTAAGAAGATAGAGAAATTGAAGGACTTCGGGGAATATGAGCTGGTCGAAGGGTGGTTAGGGTTCAGGTTGAAGGATTTCCTCAACAGAAGTCGAAGAAAAGAGGGGAGGAGTTATAGCACCGGGGAGAAGAGAGGACTTTTTTTTGAGATCTTCATAAAAGAAAAGAAAAAAGGGGGATAAAATCACACAACGAATGAGATAGAACCAGACAATGAAATAATCGACAAATAGAAATCACAAAACCCAAATCAAACGTGTAAACCAGAAAGTCAGAAGGACTTACTCATCATGAACAGTGAGAAGCTCGCGGTGAATCGAAGAACTTGAAGAATGCAAGAAGCCCAAAATTGCAGAGAAAGCTAAGGAAATATGAGTACGAAAAAATTGCAAAGTGAAAAAAATTCCTAAGTGTTGGAATTAACATATTTATAAGAGAGGGGAATAAAAGAGGTGAATTATCAACCGTCGGATTACAAGGTATGAAGGGTCACGATTGAGCGACAGAGGAACATGCGTCATAAGGAGGACTGTGGGATTGAAAGTATTGATCGTTATGGTAGGAGAAGAGGTTAAGTGGGTGCAAAGTACGAAGCGGCGCGACTTACGAAGTAATGATGGAGTCTGACAGGCGAAGAGACACACCTGACAAGGTGGACGAGTGACAGCATTTAAATTTTGAAATAGCAAAGAAAAGGCAGTTGGAGTAATAAGGGATTGGGAGGAAATAAATAATGCATCAGTTGGTCGAAGACTACAATAAAGACAATGACCAAGAGAGGGACAAAAATTTACTCTTAGATCGAGTCATGTAGACTCGACTAGAGTGGGGGGACTGGATGATATGGGATATTATACCCAGGACCGATCCAACCAGTTAATAGAATAAATTGGATAAATTGGTCTGGTCGAATGGAGATTTCACTGATCAATAATGAATAGAGGCCACGACCACAAGGTTTTCGGAAGATCCAACAGATCTTGTGGCATGATTGGTAGGAATTCCACGAGAATGGAATGATCATTCCCTTACTCATTCCTTATCCCATGATTGATATATTTTTTGGAAAGGAGTGACCATTCCAATGGGAATGACAAAACCCATCTCCATGGGATTAGCCATTCCATAGTTCATGGAAGGTTTTCTCATTCCAATGTGTGTAGGAATCAATTTTTCAAAAAATAAAATTAACAAATAATAACAAAACATAAATATATAATATATATAATAAATCATGATTAAAATATATTAAATAAAATTATTTTAAAAATAATATTCAAATAAAAAATTGAAAATTACTTTTATTTGTGGTTTAATTAGATATAGTAAATATTTATATAAAATAAAACTAAACGAAGCATTTATATATAATTTGAAAATATATTATTTTATTTTTGTATATTATTAAAAATATATTATTTTTTATATATTTAAAATATATTACTTTTAAAAATATATTATTAAAAATATATTTTTTTTATATATAATTAAAATATATTATATTAAAAAATAATATTCAAGTAAAAAAATAAAAACTTACTTTTATTTATTGTTTAATTAAAAAATAAAAATATATATTATTAAAAATATTACTTTTTATTTTTATATATTATTAAAAAGATATTATTTTATATATTAAAACTATATTAATTTTAAGAATATATTAATTTTTATATATAATTTAAAAATATATATTTTGTTTTTATATATTTTGAAAAATATATTATTTTTTATACTATTAAAAAATATATTATTTTATTTTTATAATTTATTAAAAATATATTATTTGATTTATATATATTATTAAAAAAACATTTATATATAATTTATTAAAATTATATTATGTTTTTAAAAAATATTATATTTATTTTTATAATAAAAAATGATAATGTCATTCCATTCAGGTTTTATTCCTTCTGTATACCAAACACATCAATGACAAAACTTATTTCATTTCATTCCCATAATCATTCCATTCTTCAATTCATTCCATTCCTACGACATTTCATTCCATTATACCAATCAGGCCATTAGTGTTATAGAAGATTTGGTTGAAAGTAATAGGTGGTCGAACATAAATGATCGTGAGCTTGACCACCCTGGCATTAGAATCGGCTTAACAGACTACCTAGATTTGGTCGAGCATAAGAGCCTCGTGGCAACTTTCGGTACAGGTGCGCGGGACACATGGCGCAAACCGATTGGCCTATATTCATAACTTATTCTGACACATTCATGACATATTCCGGATGCGCGTACCCGAGGTTGTACGATTGGGCAGGCCGGGCAGCCAGCTCAGCAGAACCCGCGCAGTTTCTAGGGTAGGTATCTTACCCCTCTATAAAGGGTTGAGGTTTATCATTGTACACACAATCTCATATATTTTCACTATCACATATATCTTCTTCTCAAAACTAACTTGAGCGTTGGAGGATCTTCACCAGAAACCCCCCCCCCGGTATGAGAGTTTCGTGCAGGTTCTGATGTTCTATTGACGAGAAGATCAAGGATGAAGCGGTTCTCAATCGGTCGGAGTGGTTCTCAGTCGGTCGGAGTGTCACACTTGTATTAAACCAAATATGCACTTTTTATGAACCGGGGTGTGAACTTAATATATATTTTTACTGTCTTTATATTTTCAACTAAGTATGTATGCAATATACATACATATATATATATATATAAACTAAATATGCACACTAAATAAATCAAATGTGCACTATTTATATAATAAAAACTCCAAGGGCTAGAGTGCAATTATTCAAACTTATATAAATTACTGATTAAACCCAAGATTCAAATGGCAATAACTTATAAGTTTCTCAAATTGCAATTAAATCTCCAGAGTTTATCTAATTTTCATACAAAATCCATGGCCCTAAATTCCGATCACGACTGGTGCGTCTCCAACCACACCCCCCGTCGTCTCCAGCCACTCCCCCCACATCCCCACCCCCAAGCAGCCCACCAACATCGCCATCCCACGCCTCCTCCCCTTCAAGACTTTTCACCTTGACCGACCTCAGAGCTTTGACTTGCGACTTTAATGGAAACAGATTCGTCATGGCCGCTGCCTAAGGGGCATGCAATATCTTGCTTTCCATTGCCTTTCTCGACCTCGAGTATGAGCCCTCCGACCTGAATCACGAGCTGTTGCATTCTTATTCGTCTTCGCCTTGCCCATTTCCAACTGCGAACGCCTTGCCCGTGACTCGAAGTGGTTGGGCTACCTCGTCAAACTGATGTTCAACTCTCCGGACGTTGGCGAAGAGCTTTATGAGCTGGGGGCCGATGGCGGCGGTTGGGGGAGGTGGAACTTGTAGAGAGTGTCCTGGCCAAGGAGTAGACGCTAGGGCCGATTGGCCAACTGGCGACGGTCAACGTCGTTAAGTTAATTTTTTTGTATTATTTTAATGACGTTTGCATTCCAGTTGATTAATATGAGCTAAACAAATCAGTAATTAAGATTAAGTCTCATGTTTTCATTTTAAGAAGTGAACCAAGACTTCTTTTTTTTTTTTTAAAAAAAAAAAAGGGTTCGAGGGAAAATTGTTTTTTAGACAAACATAAGATATCCAAGGGAAAAATTTTATCTATCTATATATTGAAAGAGGTTGATGGAATTCTCCAAAATAATAACTTTGACTTTGTAATTAAATAAGTTGACTTACTCTTAAAGGAAATATAGTAAAAATTACTAAATTTTATAGAAAAATAAAAATTAAATTATACATACATGTTGTAAATCGTGCAATCATGTTAATAGCACGAATTTCTATATAAATAAGTGGTATGAACTTTGAAAATTATTTTGTGATAATTATCGCAATAAAAATTTGATTCTTCATCTTAATTATGAATCACTGCAATTTTTTTCTTTTCTTTTTTTCCTTTTTGTAACCAACAATACTACATGTCTAAGAAAAATGTCTATTAAATATATTTCATTTTTAGAAAATATTATTTTACTATATAAAATTGTGAATATAACTTCAAAATAAAAATTTAAAATCAATTCTGGAAATTTTTTTATGATATTGATCACAATATTACAATAAAATCTTATTTATCAATTTAATAACAAATAACAATGATTTCTTAGTCATTTGATAACCAACGATACACCAAAATATTTATAATCGTATCTTCAAAAAATTATTTAATCAAGATAATTAGTTAAGAGGCTCGGATAACGAGTGGTATAGATTGAAACCCCTCGGCGATTAAAAACCCTTTCCCCAATTCTCGAGCTCTTCGATTTCTTCTCCGGCGAGGCTTCCTTGGTGACAGTGATTTCGGTCCAGTGGTCATCTTGACTGCTCGCCCCACTCTCTGAAGACTATTTCGCCTTCGTCTCTGTTGCTCCGCAGGTGAGATCGGTACTCGAAGGTCAGGGCTAGGTTGTGGTCGGGTTTTACGGAGGTTAGCCCCAATTTGTTGACGGCTCTTTGGCTTGTTGGCGATTGGCGACTTCTCTGCTGAAGTGTCTTAAGTTGTCGGTAGATAACCCTCGCTCCTAGGGTTTGTTTGTCAGTTGCGCCTTCTGGAGGGGATGTCGGAGTAGAGCTCGGTTCTCCGGTAGTCTCGGGCGGTGCTGGTCGGATGGTCTCAAATTTTGTTGGGACTTGCGGATCGGGCCGTCTTGCTTGGACTACCGGGTCGGTCAAGGTCTGTTGGAATGGGCCCTCTGTTGGGCAGTTGATGGGTAACCCGGCGGTCTACGGGGTGGATTGAGTGCCTTTTGGGGATGGGGCGAGGCTCTAACCGTCTCGACCTCTTGGGTCGTGAAAGTTGAAGTGAGAGACAGAGTCTCTCTCTCTCTCGGTTCTCTGTTGTTGGGAACTGAAGGGTTGGTTTTGGCACTACTGATCCCGGCTAGTGGTGTTAGGCGAGCTTACGTAGGGATGACTGGGGAGCTGGCCGGTTGTCCTCCCAGTTGAGATGGATTGATTTGGGATAGGTCTAGGGTCTGGTTTTGGCTTTTGTATAGGCGTTCGGCAGCAGTTTCGGAAGTTGGGCTTGGACTTGGGATCTTTCGTGGATTCAAATGTTTCTCCGCGGTTTCTGGCTTGTCTGATTGCTGGGGAAGGGCATTCTTCCATTCGACAGCTTTTCTGTGATTGTTCCTTTGTTTTTTAGGTTTCTTTGTTTTAGTTTGTTTCTTGTGGTCGTGTCAGTGTTGTTTAGGAGTTGTGTTTTGGTTTGGGTCGTTGGTCTCTGTAAGACAGAGCGAGAGCACATCTATTATCCTGTTCAGATCAGCTCATGTCTCTATTCTCATGTTGGGAGCTGGTAGTTTTTCTTTGTGTTTTGTTGTGTTAGTTGTCTTGTGAGTCTAGTCTTTGGTTTCTAGCGTTGCTAGTATCGAGATTCTAGGCAGTTGTCGGACCTGTCCTCCCATTTTATTCTCCCGTTGGGAGCTTTGTATTTGTTCGCACATTCGTGCGTTTGGTCTATAATAGTTCCTCTATCATTCTGACTAAAAAAGATAATTAGTTAAGATCTTTTGATTTATCAATAACTCAATTGTTTCAGTTTTTCAAAAATTATAAACCCAATTTTTTAAAATATTAAAAAAAATTATCTATTTATCTTTAATCACAAACCAATCTTTATCCTTAATAAAAATCAAGCGTTCACCTGTTTTGCTGGTTATCCAGTCATATGAAAACGAAATATGCGTGAAAACATTGTAAAGTATGAGTACAAAATAAATTTAAAACCAACTGCAAATATTCTAATTGGTATAACTACCACAATACTATAATATAATAGAAATAGATACATTAGTAACACATATTCAGTTCGTCACAAGCCATATACCAAAAATCATCTACTCAAGGAGTTCAAATATATCCTTTGATTTTATCAATAACTACACTAAACCATTTTTTAAAAAAATTCATATTGCAATTGACTATATCACAACAATTATCATATAAATTAATAGATTAGAAAAAATAATTATAATATTATAAATTATAATAAAAAATAAAATAATATTGTTGTAATCAAAAATAGTTTTTTTACATCAAAATGATATATATTACAATATTTTCAATTAAGTGTTGGTTATAATATTTGTCACAGTATTTCAACTTTAGCCTAACTTATTTTCAAATTTAATATTATATTATAACAAAGTTTGAGTAAAAGAAGATAAAGAGAGAAGCATTCTATGAGTATTATTTATTGATAATATTGGAATATATTATATTTTTATTATCCTTAATCATAAACAGGATATAAAAAATGACAACTATTTTATAATGAATAAAATAAACATATAAATTATATATTAAGTTATTATATATCAAAACTAAAGTAAAAAATAATTATTAATATTCAAAATTATTTTTATACTAATAAATATGCCTTCATTGCTTTAATACAGGCAATTTATAATAATTGCTCCGAGCATTGCACGGGCTACTTAGTAATTAATATATAATAGAGCTAAGAGATAAATCACAAATAGTATGTTTTTTCCCACTTTTTTTTTTTTGTTTTTTAGTTTTTTACAATTTCTGGATACAATTTCCGATTTTTTACAACTATTTGGCATTCGTTTATTTCATAATTTATTTTTATTGCGGTCATTAAATTAAAAATAGATCTTTCCTTACAAAATTATAATATTTTATTTATTTAATCATTTATTTAACTAGATTTATCTCATTAACAAACTTGCCAATTTTTTTTTTAAATTAAAATAGACAATAATTCTTACGACTATAATTACCAAAATATTAATTATTTTTATAAACTTTTTAAAAATAATTTGAATTATCATGTCTTTTACTTTATATTAAATTACATATTTAGATATATTAAAAAAAATTATTATTTGTTTTTTCCTTATGTGCAATAATCTAAATTTGGTTCTTAGATTTCTATTCAAACATTTACAGAAAAAAATCATTTTTGGGTAAATTTCATCTTATCTTAACTTTCATATTATTACATTCCTAAAAAATTAATTAATTAGCTAACCAATTATTTAAAGATATAATTAATATAATATTAACTAATTAATTATTTATCTAACATGGTTTATATCTTTAACAAACTTGCCAAATTTTTTGAAATTAAAATGATATGATTATTCTTACGGATATACTTACCAAAATATTAAAACATTTTAAAAACTTTAAAAACAATTGAGTTATCCCGCCTTTTACTTCATTTGAAATTCAAAGTTATATTTTTAAATATAATAACAAATATTTATTATTTAGTTTTTCCTTACATGATATAATTTAATTTAGTTATTAGATTTTTAAAATTCAAACATTTAAAGGAAAGATAACAAACATATTTTTTGGGTACATTTCGTTTATCTTAACTTTAATATAATCACATTCCTAACAAATTTTTAATTAATATAATTACATTTATCTGACTGGATTTTTTAAAATGTAATTATTATAATATTTGAACTAATTAATCTTTTGTCTGACCGAATTTTTTTATTAAAAATCTTCCAATTTTTTGAAATTAGAATGTAAGATTATTCTTACGAGTATATTTACCAGAATATTAAACACCTTAGAAACTTTTTAAAAAACAAATTTAAATTATCCCGCATTTTACTCTATTTAAAATTCAAAATTATATTTTTAAATATATCGATAAACTTTTATTATTTTTTGCCTTATGTTAAAAATTAATGAAAGATTTGTTTTATGATTTTCCTATACAGGTGTTTTTGAAACATTTAATAAACACCCATGTAGATTTTTTCCTTATATTTTTCCTTATGTTAAAATAAAATTCTTTTTGAATGCATAATAAATTTTTTCTTAAACAGTTAAAATTTCGATAGGTTTATAGGTTTCTAATGGGATTACGTTAGTTGAGATTTCAACCAAATTTCAAATGTTATATTGTCTAATTTGTTAATTTAATTATATTGACTTTGATTTTATAATAATTTTAAATTGTTACTTTAATTAGATTGAATTTGATTTTATAATAATAAAATAAATGATGGAAATAGGATTTTCTATTAATTGATTGATAAAAAAAAAAATAAGAAAGGAAAAAAGATAATATAGGATAATATTTGAATTTCTCTTCTAATTTGATTAGTAATTTTACTAATGGTTGACCATTGAATAAATTGGTAGGAAGTAACATAGAAATTGGGATATAAAAATGCTTAAACAAATTAGATTATTTTGATGTGTAAAACTAAAATAAAAAATAGCTTTACTTTAAAGTTTAGATTCTTTCTATTATTGTTACACATTAACAACCATTGATTGGATAATTATTTCTTTTTTTTTTTTTGGAAAAAAAAAAATCAAAACTGCAAAGTTTAATAATATTCTTAAATAAAAAATATTGTGTAATGAAAAGTGTTTAATAATATATATTTTTCATTGTTTGTATTTATTTTATTTCCATAATAAGATGAGATGTGAAAAATATAAACAGTTATATTTAAAATAAAGACTAAAAAAAAGTTTAAAATATGAACTCCTTCGTGCATCACGGGATATGCATTAGTTACATGTCTACATCCTCCAACAGCTGTTAATAAAAAAAGGTCTCCAAACAGAAATTTCCTCACCATTTGCATTCTGCAAGGAAAACAAGGCAGAAAAGCTTCTTCTCCAATTGAGTTTTCTGCAACATTTTCTCAAGCTAAATAAATGCATATAAAGCCAGTAATAAACCACCCCACCTATTTTGTTGTAATGGCCAGTATAAATCACGTAAGTCCAAGATCATAAGAAAGTGATCCGGGCGAACGCAAACAGCCTCCCGGCAGAAGAAACTTAAACTTATCGGCATTCTGAATCAAATAAGCCGGGACATGAACAGCCGAGGCCGAGCTGGGAATGGGCCCCATCTTCTTGATCAAATCCCTAAACGTGTACTCCTCAGGAAGCATATCGTACAAGTCCTCCCCACTGCATATCACCTTCTGAATCCTCGAATACCTCAGAAACTCCTTCCTCCTCACCCGGTCCGCGTGGCTGTACCCCGTCATCTTTAACACGAAATCCCTCAGATGCCGAAAGCAGAAGCTGCAGTGCCAGCCAGCGTCCGACAGGATCACGTCTGCCTGCCTCGAATGCCGGTACTGAGTCCCTCGCCCGTATATATGTACCGAAGCCCGCCAGCTGCTGTAGTCCACCGGGAACTCGAACGAGTACATGTAGTTTCTGAGCTGGAGATGTAACACGGGTGGAAACCCATCGCACCACTGGAGGAGCTTCACCGTGTGGGGGCTCGGGATCTCGTCCGCATCCGACATGATGACGAGGTCACCGTCCGCAATCCCGGCGCGGCGCAGCAGCTCGTTCATGGCCACGCGCTGCTCCGACTCCAGCCGGAACGGGTCCCTGCCTGACCCGACCCGACCCGGGAACACGCCGTGGACGACCATATTGTCGAAATTGGAGAAGCGTCTGCGGTTACGGGAGAAATAGAGGGGCTTGGGGATGCCGGTGAAGGTGGTGTTGGCCTCGAGGACGACGAACTTGGCGACGTACGGACGGAGCTCGTTCCATCGGATCTCGAGGAGGTCGAGCTCGTTGCTGAAGATGATGGCGTCGAACACGCGGCGGGGGGAAGGGCGCGGGGACCACCCGTGAAGGCGGCAGAGGTACTCGGTCGAGACGTTCTCCGCGTAGTAATGGGGAATGTGGTGGAAAGGGGTTGGGGGTTTGTCCCAGAGGGGGCGCAACAAGTAGGACATCTTCTGAACGTGCGTCACTGAAAACATCCCCAACATCCCCAAAACGCATAGTGCCACCAAAACTACTAGTAGTACTACAAACACAAAGAAAAACCTCCGAGGCCTCGGACGGGAGCTCACACGCTGGGATTTCGGGGCCATGTAATGGTAATGGTAATGGTAATGTTAACAATCACCTTTTGGCCTAACACAAATTTCAAGGTGGAGAGTTGTCACACAGTTGCTAAAGATGCTGGTTAGTTAGGTAAATCACTATGTCTAGCACTAGCAGCACATAGATAATAGATAGATAGATAGATACAAAAGATGTTCAAACAATAAAGATGTACAAATATTGAAAAAATTAACAAGTATAACACTGTCTTATCATCTGTAATGAATAATCACTCAGCAATCCAGACAAATTGTGAACTACGAGAACAGCCCGAATCAGAAATAATCTATTACTATAACGACATGAATATTTTTATTTTCATTTTTAACCTAAATACAGCATTTAATCATGAATCATTGAACCGGTGAATTATTTATCAAGCGAAAAATAAAAAGATTGAAAAAAAAATAAATAAATCATGATTTACAGCCTAAAAGACCTAAAATCATCCCTAATTTCAACAACAAATTTCAATCAGATGTATCGTTTACCTTTAATGGCGATAAGGCATACGGCAGCGTACGGACAACAAAGCCAGATATCCTTAAAATACTGTACATCGATGTACGGTGAATTAACAGAGAAGAGAGAAGGTTGAAAATCTTTAATAAGACATAGTCGGCCGGCAACTCAGCATTGCTTTATAAGCAAATCGAAAGAATCGTTTTATTATAATTTCTTTTCCTAAGATGTTTTGGAAACACAGTTTGCATCTACCAAATTCCATTCCACAAGCATAAAGGGTGTTTATAGATCCTATTTAATTAACTAGTATAAAACCGGTTTGATATAAAAATTATTTTTAAAATTAAATATTAATAACAAAAGTTATTTGGGTAAATTTGTATTTTGGTTTGTACTTACTCAACACGTATTCTTTAAATTAATTCTACGTGTCTTTTTTCTTATTTAATTAAATTAAAAAAATAAAAAAAATGATTGTTAGTTATACGAAAATGCTCTTACTTAAAAAAAAAAAAAAAACAAAATAAATTGTTAATTAATTTACGTAAAAGTTGTTGAACTTTTCTCATCTTATAAATTTCGTCTAAAACATACTTATGAGTCTCAAATAAACCAACAAGTACTCCAAAATTACATTCGAAATATGTTTCGTTTCTATTTGTTTTATTTTTTGTTGAACTGATTTTTCTTAAGTCAAAAATAATGAATAGATCTTCTTCAAACGTGTTTTTGTTTTACAAGAAAATAGATATTTGAAATCGGAATGACGTTCAAAGAATTGATCGATTTTTTTATTTTCAGAAATTAAAATTTTCTGGTTCTGTCATTTCTGTTCTTCAATTGAAATCTGAAAAGATGTTATAATAATTATGATTACAATTAAATTTCGAATGCATTCGGTGTTAATCATTTGAAATAAGAATCATGAGTACATAATTACTTGCAATCACAGACACATGAATGTAAAATATTTTGAATTCAGATTCGATATTTGAACAACAAATTTCTGTGAATTTTTATTCAATTTCGTGTTCGTCAATCAGATTATCGTCCAATCATGTGTTTTCACTCTTAACAATTCTCATTTTGCTGTGCATCCATGAATTGTAAGACATATATGCGATTAAATGTTGAAATTTGTGTTTGTCGATGTTAACCTTGATAATTCACTGATATTGTTGTTTTATCATAAACAAGCACATGAGATGTTTGACGAAATGTCTGAACAGACACAAAAAATGCACAACCGATGAGCGACAGAACACAACTTGCCAATAAATACAATCGAACAAGATATTGATGTTTTAGTCATTAACAATCTCATTACATCAATTTTGACATTTTAGAATACGGTCATAAGCTTTAGTCATAAAAAAAAAAAACACAAATGATGCTTGCAAACGCAACTTTCTATACATGTGCGATTTATCTCGTTCCTTCATGCAATTTTTTACATTTACTTGCTTGTTTATGAACAATGAAAACACACACGGTTTGTAGACATTGATGAACAAGGTAAACACACACAAGTGAAGTAATTTCATTTTAGTTGTTTAATATATCGTCATAATGAATTTCATAAACATATATGTTAAAGAATGATTTCATTATGGCAAAGAGGTGTAACAAAATTTTGTTTAAGAAAATGTTGATTATACATAACATATTAAACATTCTGAAGAAAATATTAGATAACAAAAGGACAATAAATTTTTCATTCAATCACATACAGTATTTGTTCGTCGACAATCAAAAGCCTCATCGAAAACCAAAAGGTGCATAGAAAAACGTAATTGTTCATAAATCAACATCAAAGACCAGGTCATTGCAATTTATTTTCCTAAAATTCAGAATGCATCCTTGAGCTACATCATTATCAGCTATGAAAGGCTTCAGTCCCTTGAATATGTGCTTAGTCCCTTCTTTCTTCATCCGGACTGTCTACTCCATGCTCCCATGACGAATAATAGCAGATTAAGCGTGATCAAATATCCCCAACAACTCTTGATTCCAGAATATAGATGGAATCGTCTGTTTGATAAAGTATAAAAATTTTGTCCACTTATACATGTCAACTATTTTCTTACAACTCGTCATAGACATAAGAAGTTTCGTTTCAAGAAAAAATTGTACTTAAAATATTTACGGTCACCATGTGCATTAGTTTGATGATGTCCCCGAAGTGAGTTCCTGAAGTATTGTTATGCTACAACCCTGCAGGTGGATTAAGTTCAGGCATAATAATAATGCAATGAACGAACACTAGCTTTGATAATATAATATATTAATCAATTCTTGATTATCAGTAATTGAATTAATTAATGGACATTATATCTTAAACTTGGGGAGGTAATTCGGGTAATTATTATTGGAGTCTAAAATGTAATTTGAGATAGAAAAAGAGAGTGCAATAATATTACATTAGTGGACCGTAATATTATTTAAGTAATTGGAAGAGTGGCTTGGCCCATAATTAGTCCAATACTTAAGAAGCCCTATTCCTATTCTCCTAAGGATCCCTACTGTAACTATATATATATCATTAATCTCATGGAAAAGAGAAAAAGAGATCAGATTTTTCATACGTGCAAAACACACGCACGTCTCTCTCTTCTCTCTCTAGATTTCTGTTCGAGCTTTATCTTCTTCTTGTTGTTCCACCGATATAAGTTGAACCACGTCCCGGCCACTCCGACTACTGCTCTTGGTTATCCCGAATATGTCAGATTCGAAAATTTTAAGCCGTAAGTTTTCTACGTCAAACCTTTAGATCTGCTGCGCATAATTTTACATTTGCTATTAAATTTGTCACTTGTACAGAACGAGATCCTCATATATCCCAACATTTGAGTCGAGTTTTCTAATGCTCGATTAAAATTTTAAACCAAGACTTAGACTTAAAATTTTATTTCATTTCCAAAATAAAATTCGAGTGGATCCTCCTTTAGGATTTATAAATCAATTTAATGCAAATAATAATAATTAAATGTATCAAATAAATAAATAATACTTGAAATAAATAGAAGCTTGTTATAAATGAAACTAATGTCGAGCATATAATTACTAAAACTATTTGGGGCATTAGAGTGTATTTGTGTGAAATGTGAGAGAGAGAACGTCATTAGGTGTAGATGTAGGTGGATCCCACTGGTGAGTGTAATTATTGGAAATGACCACTTTATCCTTAATGAATGGTCAAATACACATATTTGACCATAATTATGCCATTTACTTACGAGAATGCATTACGTGTTTGACTATGATTACTAATTTTGACTAGTTCATGACCATTGATATTATGGAACCAATGGTGTAGTTCTACTCTTATTCTTTCTTTTGTTTTTTTCCCGTGGAAGGGTAGAGATTTTATAAAACACACAAAAGTGCAAAAAAAACCAGCCAAAAGCTGAAAGATACATCTAATAGCTGAAAGACTGGGAGGACAAATATGAAGGTCGCCTAGAGCCTAACTAGCAACGCTAGACTAACACACTCACAACACTACACGACCCAACACAACACAACAAAACTATGAAGCACTCAAATAGGAGAATCAACGATCCCAATAGGATAATGCCCGCTCTCACTTGGGCAAAAATAGAGGCCTAAGGCAGGAACTAAAAACACAAACCTATCAAATAAAACTAGGCAAAAAAAAAAAAAAAAAACTAAAATGACACAAGGACCACTACAACTAACAAACGAGCCCTTCCCCACCAAAGCGACTGAACAAAACGCCCAACCTGAGAGCACACCACCACTGCCCCAAACCGGCTAACACCACTAACCAAAACGGTAGCATCGGACTCACTCGGACCCAACACCAGAGACAAAGGGGTAAGGGGATTGAAAGAGGAACCTCAACCCCGCACGAGACACCAGCGGTCACATGGCCGACTACACTAGAGTATAACGCAACCCAAGAAAACCGATCCTGAAATTGCCAAAGAAAGCCTAGCTGAAGCCGCATCCCAAACTCCAAACTCCCTAAAGACAACCCGCCTCGCGGCCGGAGGAGTAGCATACTCCCCCACTCCCACCCCCACCACCGCCCGCTCAATAATACATCACTAGCTGATTCTGACCGCACCAGTGAGCCCTTGAACCCAACCCCAAGTTAAACATAGGAAAAGGGCGAGAAAGACACCACTCCTTAGCCATGGCCGCCACGGTTCCGGCATCGCAAATGTCCCGAGCCACACCCAGCCCCGACGACACACCCCACCTGGCACACCCATGACATCAAGGAAGCCGGCAAAACAAAAACCCAAAAAGGTACATGAAATCGGCAAAAGCCGTCGTAGACGCCCGTCTTCATCCCCCAATGCATAGCGGGCTAGGAGAGGCGCAAAGTCGGGGTCAAGACCGTGCAGCCAAGGGCCGACTACCAGCAAGGGATCCGACAACCCGCTGAGGAAGGAAACAATTACGGCTAATGAACTAGATTCGACGGCGGAAAAGGGGAACCAAGAGAGAAAAATTAGGGCAACTGAAAACAATTGAGGATCGTTCGCTATATTCCTTTCTCATATGATTCCAATTATATATATAATTATATATGTGTGTGTAGACATAGATGTGAGTCGTGATTATTAAGTAACGTGTCACTAATCACTATAATTTATTAGTTTAATATATAATAAAATTTTGATTAAAAGTTCGACCATCCATAACCAATTAGACTGGTAACTTTAAATAACCAATAAAAAAGATAAAATATTACTATATTGTTGGCAGACATATAATGTCGTGTACAACAAAAAATTTCATCGTCCATAATAATTTATTCTTATATATTTATTTTTAATGAAACTTATTCAATCCTAGGTATAATCAAATCGATCTCATTAGTCGCGTGCATATATCCGAGTATTTTTTTCAAAAAGATGATTATATTAATAACGAAAAACTCGAAAGAGTATAATAGAAATGTCAACTGACACCAAGAAACAAAAATATCTAAACCTATGTCCAAGAGGTACAAACTTTAAATAAATGAACAAAGAATACTATCGTTGTAAATTCAAAAAGTTTCCAATGAATTCACCCCAACACTCGTAAATAAATACTTCCTCTGTATATGTAGTGGTCGTCTTGTAAATCCAGAGTTCTTGTTCGGTAAAAGGGTCGCCTCGATAGTTGGTAAATTGGTTTATTGTGCTTCAGAAGATTGGAGTTCGAGGGATTGGAGACCGATTAGGGAGAATTTGTCTTCGTTGTAGCGAACCATGTCTGCCGTTGTGTGCGGAAAGAGGTCGAACATCTTTGAGGATTCACCTTCGTCGCCTCCAGTCTCCAAAAGGATCCGCTGTTCATCTTCATCCTCGTCCCCGAGCCAGACCTTCTCGCCGCCGTCCGCTAACTCCTTCAGTCCAGTGCTCGATCATCTCGCCGCACTCTTTCCCCATATGGATAGTAAGGTTGCCATTTCGTTTCGTTTCTTGTTTCCCCTACATTTTAGTTGGATGCTTTGTTTCTGATTGATTTGTACTTTATTGCGTCAATGGTTTATATGTAAAATTCTTGGAAGGTGGAATTTGTGTGTTACTGTGATGCGCTAACTCGTTTTATTTCGTTATTTAAAATGCGTTGAATCTCCCAGTGTAAGAGATTGTTGTGGTAGTTTATTCCCGTGCGATAAGTGCCTGGATACGGTTTTGATATTTTTATGTTCAAGACATATGATATGATATCAACATAGTTTTTGTACTTCCATTTGTAATGTTTTGTAATGTGCCATTTGTTATGTTAACTTGATCAAGTTGTGATGTTTTGGCAATACGGATGAGATGTATTTGACATGCTAAGTTTTTTATGTTTTCCAATGCTACGCAGTCGTGAAATAATTTTATGCAGCTGACAGGTAATCTTAATTTTTTCACCTCTTGTTTTGTCCTTCTAGCAGATGGAGAATATTATATGGTTAATTACTTCCAGAATCTAATCTCACCTTGCACAATTTTAATTTTTCTAGAAGTAATTCCATTAGATTTTATTGTTATCTTGGAACTTGTTATTAGTAATCACGGTTTCTTCCACTGTCCATTTCTTTGAAGGGAAATGACTGTGAATGTGATCACAGTTGGCATCATGTGGGCAATGTAGTATCCGGAGGCTTTAGGAAAGTTTGTGGAATATAAGTAATCTTTTGTATTTGGTTTTTGTTTTCAGTGTATATGTGTTCCCTGCACTCGTTATTGTTCAGTTGAGTTCTTGCTTTCTGATTGGAAGGTCCTCTTAGGCTATAAGTAACATTCTGATCAATAGTCCAGCTTTAGCTTTGAATGAGCTTGAAGCTGCTGTGGCCTGTATATTTCATTTTTAAGATCTATAACTCCATATATTTTATGAAAAGCATTATGAGGTTTGAGGTGTCGATGACAATCTCATCTATAGAGCTAGCAGTAGGTGCCGGTTTCTTGTTTCTTAATATTTTGCCAGCCAAAAAGTTGATTAATGCGAGCTCACCATACAAGAAATAAAGACAGTTAGTGAACATTGCTTGCTGGGATATCATGTTATGTCTTTGTTAGTTTTCTGTTTTCTCCTGGGAGGAAAGACGTGCATAATCAATTGTGAAAATGTTTGTGTTTTCTTTTCATATGCTGGGGATAGGAGTTAGTTTACGAATAAAATATATGAATTGGACAATGTTCATGGTTAATAGGCTTATATTTTTGCAGTTTAACTTTCTTGCAGAGATGGAGAACAATAATAAGGAGAGGGACATTGCATATTTGTTTGGCATTAGCTTTCGTATTTTCTTTTTACATACACAATTGTTTTTAACTTGCTGAAACGTCAAATGTCCATATATCTGTATTTTTGTGTAATGGCTCGCCTCATTTCAATAAGGTGAGCGCCTCACAACTTACGCCTCACGCAAATAGGAGGCTTGTTGCTCGGCTCCCCGCGCTTCCTTTTAGTCACTGCATGAAGCAGAAGATGCTCATATTCGTGAATAGGAATGTCTTAATATTAAGGGGGAAAAACCTGGATTTTGTTGTTCTGAACTGTTGAATTACCGTAAGTTGGAACTTGGAAGTATTTTTTCTTTTGTATTTATTTGTCTTCATCCTACCAATGCACGATTAATTAAAGCTGTTAAATGAGATCACATGATTCGACCTTATGAGCAATCCTGAGGACTGCATAATTACAACTTCACCTCTTATTATAATATCTTTATATAGTGCTGTTTTGGTGAGTTTGACACCCATATCATGAAACTTGCTTTCAATTCACAATAATTTGAGAAGAGCTATTTAATGGAATGTGTAAATTTGATGAACATTTTTTAATTGTGGAAACTAAATTGTCCACGATCAAAGAAGTTGATGTATGCTTATCGATGCCATAAAATTTAGTACGCAAAATTAGCAATTTTGTGAGAAATATCAAGCTTTTGATGACCATAAACCCTTTTTAGGCGTAAATAAATTTTTAGATGTATCAAATTTCCTAGCAGCCATGGACAGTCATAGCAGATATTTCAGTATAAATAATTAGATCCACCTCCTGGGAAAATCATATTAAACCTAATACTACCACTGTGGTTTTTATTAGACACTTCTTTGCATGCCAAGTTGGCTGCCTGAGTCATTTTCTTTTTCAGGGGAACATTGTTGGAATTATATATGTTAGATACCATCACACCGGTCTTTTTCCTATACCTATGAATTCCATTGGACCCAGAAATGATACCTTGGAAGAATCAGTTGGTTCTTCCAATATCAATAGGTTGATTGTTTCGCTCTACCTTCCAAAAGGAAAAAAGATTTATCATTTTCAACTGTTCAAAGGAATTAGAGCCCATTAATTACAAGGTAGCTGTATGTGTCTTGGCATCTGATTATGTATTTCATTGTTGCTTTTAGTTTCAGACAGCACACAATTACATGTACAGACAGATTTTTTAGGGATTTAATACTGAGAAGATTGCCCTTCAGTTAGGGTAATAATAATTTTTTTGCACCTTGTGCTGGACCTGGAAGGTGCTGAAACGCTTATCTCATTTGGTTTGACTATTATTGTTTCTCCCAATTAAATGATTTACCAAAAAAATTCTGATTTCTATTTAATTATTGGTTACAATTTGTGATAGATTTCTATACGTACTATTCTTTAGCAGAATCATAACTAAAATTTTATAGTCAACATCTATTATAAAGAATTTTGCTTCAATCTCCGTGGAAGGATTTATGTTGTTCAATGTACTGTTGCGCGTCTTGATTGAGTGAGTACTAGATAATCATTCTAATGTTCATTGTACTTATTTGTTTGATGTTAAATCTAAATAAGTTGTTGAATGGTTTTGGCTTGTAGTTTCTGGAGAAAGCGTTTGAGGAAGCTGGTGATGATTTGGATTCTGCAATAAAAAGGCTTAACGAATTTCGGCTTAGTGCTGCAGCAAGTGTCTCTGATAATTTTCAGGAAATTGGTGACCAATTTTGTTCTGAAGGTGTTCTTTTTTTTTTTTTT